CTTTTTCATGCACTAAAATGTATGAACATGTTAAAATGTAAAAAGAAGAAACTATTGTACTTTGGCCACTTAAGCTGGAAGAATACATTTATGTCATACAGTCAAACCTCGTTATCTCGAAGTCGACAGGGTCGTGGAAAATTAGAGTCATCCGAGTATCTTAGTTATGCAAGTTCATAAATTTGGTATGGAATTTGCTGTTTGGACAAAGCACTGGCAGTTGTTGATTTTATTAATAACCAATGCTGTTATCAATCGATGAATGATATACGTAATCAATATAACAAATACAGGTATGTAATTTTACAATAAACAAGCTTACATAAATAAAGTAAGTTATTTCAGAAAAAACGTACTCTCGCCTAACGTGATCAAAACGGTTGGACCATATTGTGAATTCGATATTAAATATGGGCGGGCCTAGTTATTGAATTGTTGTTTTTGGCTAGTCTAGATCTTGGCAAAGTCTTTCCACGTCTGCATTTGTATTTGCAAGTCCGTCAAGTTTACTTCTGAAGTGTTACATTTAACAAGAGGCCCAATGGGCCTGCATCGCTCACCTGGTATTAATCTCACATTTGTAATCTTAAAAGTGGACTAAAATACAGCTACAGGCAGAATATCAGTGTTTGATTCATAAGAACCTATTAAAAGATTTAAACATATGACGCCTGTGACCTTGAATGTCAAACAAGGACATTAGGTTGAAAGTGGGTCAAGGTTATTCATTTGATAGGAAGTTGTTTTAAGGTTTTAAGACATTTGACCCGTCACCTTGAAAGTTGGTCAAGGTCATTCATTTGAACAAACTTGATAGCCCTTCATCCCAGCATGCTACAGGCCCAATATCAGTAAGTTCCCTTGGCCTTTAGGTTATTGAGAAGAAGTTGTTTGTGGGTTTTTAGACATTTGACCCCTTGTGACATTGAAAGTGGGTCAAGGTCATTTATTTCAACAAACTTGGTAGCCCTTCATATCAGCATGCTTCTGGCCAAATATCTTCACCCTAGCCCTTTTGGTTACTGAGAAGAAGTTGTTTAAAATAAAAAGTTGACGCCGGACGGGTTACAAATTATGCACTACATGTTGCACTACTGTATATACTGGTGGGACTTTTCCCATGCATATCTTTACATATAGCTTTTAATTGTGTTGATGTAAAGAATATTATTTATCAACTGTCATTATATTCTTTATAGATGAATTAATATTAGTTTAAAGTAATCATAGGAAAATGTGCAATTTCTACATATAGTTAGATTTGAACAGTTGAGCCCTATTAATTCAGCCACCGTCAGTCTGGTTAACTGCTCCACAAGTAAGTGCTTTGAGGTAAGTTCTCCCTTTCTCTATATAAAATCATATCTGTTTGCCAGCCGATACAATGTCTGGTCATACTTACCGGTAGCTAGGAACGATCAGATCTGGCTAGACTATTAAGGCTAGGTCTATGATCACTAGGGAGTTTACGGCAAATGTTTATAACAAGAAATTGTAATTTAGTGTACCTGTCCCTATAGGTAACATTCACCTGAATATTAATGTTATGGAAGGAAAGGAAAGCCATAAATCATATTTGTACAAGATATATGTTTGTATTTAACAAGTGGTGAAAAAAATAGCTAATTTATGTACATGTTCATGTATTACCTACCTGGTATGCTATTTTTATTTTAAGTTTGCTAATTACTTACAGATTTTGTCAGATGTAACACAAGTTCAACTTTATAAGAAGAGTTGTATCAAGTACATAATAAACAAAAAAATAAATACAAAAAAAGCCAACTTTAGACTATTAAATATATTTTTGAAACTGATTTGAATCAAACTAAGAGATTGGACAAGAAAAAAGTACAAGAGGCCCATGGGCCTTAGCGGTCACCTGAGTTATATCATAGGTCCTGGTAGCTTTATTTTATTGTTTAGATGTGATGTGGAAATCAGCATATGAACTAAGTGAAATACAATACTTGTCATGTCATCAAAGGATAAGAATTTTAAAATATTGGTAAATGTTCCCTTTGGGGCCCCGCCCTAGCCCTTGGGATGGGGCAGAAATCCCAATTCTATAATGTAATACTCTCATCCAACAAAGATGATTCTGACCAAGTTTGAGTAATTTTCTGCTGAAAATGGATAATATATACACAAATGTGTTATTTCCCTATATAAACTATAGTTAATAGTTACCCCCTCCCCAAGGCAGAATGGATAACTCAGGGGTCCTGAAATTTACAATTTAAATAAAGCCCCAAATGATCTTTCTTTCCGTGCAGAGAAAATGACGGTAGTACCTCCTAGTCTGGGGAAGATTTTTAAAATATTGGTTAATTTCCCTTTGGGGCGCCGCCTTGGCCCCAGGGGTTGGGGTAGAAATCCCAATTTCACAATTTTGTAGCATCATCTACCAAAGATGATTCTGGCGAAGTTTGAAAAAATTCCATCCGCTGGTTCTTGAGAAGAAGTTGAAAATGTAAAAAGTTTACGCACAACGGACGATGAAGAACTGAAAGCAATCAGAAAAGGTCACTTGAGCAAAGCTCAGGTGACCTAAAACTGTAACTCATTATTTCTTTCAGTAAACAAACCTAACTTAGCTATATCCTAATAGTGTTTTTCGTAGTTTGAAATTGTTTTTTTAACTTGAAGTTACTAGATAAACTAAAAGAGCATTTATTCCAGATGCCAACAGCCAGGATGTGTGGAAGTACTAAAATGCACTTCATCCCCAGGGGACATAAATGTATGTTTTAGAAACGATCACTTTCGTAGTGTGTATTACGACAGAATGTATAGCACGACTGAACAAATCATATGATTCACTGGGATAACTCCAAAGTTTTGGACAGAGAGAGCAATCTGTTCAAACGGCAGATAAAGGAAGCCATCTGGATACGCCGCAGTGGGCCAGTTCTAAATAGAGACGACGGGGCTCAAAGACTCTCGCACATCTATGACCAAGTATTAAACAAAGCGTAGCTGAATCGAGTCATTTCGGTACATATATAACAACAATTGTACATACGCTTACAGCGTAGCTGAAATTGACATGTCGTACTAGTCATCAAAACGTCACATAGAACACTTTATTGGTTGTGTAAAAGAGAACTTTTCATAACCATACTTACCAACCTGAAGAAAATGTTTAGAAAACAAGAGGCTCAGAGGGCCTGTATCGCTCACCAAATTTGGTAACTAGAACACAAGATATCTTAACATCTCTTAAACGGTTCTGAAGATATTGTTGTTTGAAACTTGAAATTTCAATTTTAAAGCTTTTAACCAAAGTTGACATTTGACCTCATTACTGTAACTGAGAAAAATATTCGCACTGCTGGTCTACATAAGATACCCAAGAATCATGACTCTAGTTCATATAGTTCTTAGGATATTGTTGTTTGAAATCTTTCACATATTTGACCGCTGTGAACTTGAAAGTAGGTCAAGGTCATTTTAAATGAGGAAACTTTATAGCACTACATCCCAGGTACCTACTGCCCAAATATCATGACCCTGGGCCTTATGGAACTTGAGAACATTGTTGAAGCTTTTAAACAAAGTTGACATTTGACCTCATAACTGTAATCGAAAAAAATATTCGCACTGTTGGTCTACATAACATACCCAAGTATCATGACTGTAGTTCAAACGATTCTTAGGATATTGTTGTTTGAAACTTGAAATTTCAATTTTAAAGCTTTTAACCAAAGTTGACATTTGAACCCCGACTAGCATTTAAAGTTGACATTTGACCTCATTACTGTAAATGAGAAAAATATTCGCACTGCTGGTCTACATAAGATACCCAAGTATCATGACTCTAGTTCACATATAGGATATTGTTGTTTGAAATTTTTAACATATTTGACCGCTGTGACCTTGAAAGTAGGTCAAGGTCATTTTAATGAGGAAACTTTATAGCACTCCATCCCAGGTACCTACTGGCCAAATATCATGACTCTAGGTCCTACAGTTCTTCAGAAGAAGTCGTTCAAAAGAAAAAGTTGCCGGACGCCGCAGTACGGCATAAGCTCACTTGGCCCTCTGGGCCAGGTGAGCTCAAAATCTAAACTGTTGTAGGCCTTCATGTTATAATACCTTGGGTATACCTATGAACAAAATCTTAAGAATATTTCATGAGATATTGTGTACACAAACTTTTTGCGCAGCCAAAAATTTGATTTTGGTTTGTTTGTGTTTTACTTCCTATTAAGGGCTATGGTCATTTAAGAAATGTGCCAGGTTTTGGTTGTGGAGGAAAGCCAGATTTCCAGAAAAAAAATGACCTACGGCCAGTACCTGGCCAGTGCCCCTCGTAGGCTTCGAACCGCAAGCCAGTGGTGGAGGGCTAGTGGTAGCAGAATGTCAGACGCCTTAACCACTTGATAATGCCAAGATAATAATAAGTGTAAAAAGTTGAAACTTTTGTGACATTCAGAATTTTGACACTTCTTTTGTGTTTTCAATAGCCTCATCAGTATTAAATAAAATACACTGAAAAAAATGTATGAAAGCTGATGGAACAAACACTTTGTATGAACAAAGTGTCAGGGAAAAATTAGCCAGGTATAATATTAATATACTGGTGCATATTCAAAGATTTTGTATTAAATCCTGGTAGAACATTCCCACAGCAAACAAATCAATAACTTGTTCCTGTTAACGTTAGAGAGGTGGCTATTATTGAATACTGGATCCATGCTGCTGCCCCTTTTTTTTGTCAGTGTCACAAAGTATCTGTAATCAGTGCAGATTGCTACATCAGATATTTCCAATCAAATAGTTTTTAGCAATCATCTATTGATGTGCATTAACATTGCGTCTCTTAATTATTATCGGTCACAAAGATTTGAAACATCTGCATTTAAATTTATCTTTGCAATTTTGTTCAAAAGAAATAATTTTAGGCATGCTTCTGGCATGTTTTTGGCACAAAAAATGCGAATTACACAGCTTATCTGGACTACTCAAGGAGCCCCATACAAAAGCACTGTTCATACCTTATGTCCCACCCACTCTTCCTTGACAGGATTTAGTGGTAACGTCTCGGCATCAGCCTTCAGGTCTGTCAGTACATCCTACAAACAACACAAATACAGAGTTAAAAAAGTTACCATTGTCATCTTGACAATCAAATTTTGATTTTTCAGGGATTTTTTGGATATACCGGTAGGATAATGTAAGAAAATATTGATACATGCCAATATAAAATGTTCAAACTGAAATACCCAAGTAATTACTGAGTGCATTGAATGGAGATTATCTGTTATATCTGATTTATATTGGTGTTCTCACATTTCCATGTATCAGTGACCATTTAGATGTAAGAGACATCATGACATTGAACTACACCTATCAATTATGAATAGCATGCAGAAATGCAGTGATTTTATATTTAGCAGTTTTCTAACATGCAATTTAGCACTGATTTCTAAAGTCAAAAATGAGCGTCTCCCCCTAAAATAGGGAGACCTGTAAATTATTCATGAACCTTTTATAAACACGCTTCAAATTATGCAAAAGTGTCCTTACATAAATGAAGATATTTTGCTCCCCGTGACTTTATTTCATGACAAGTTCTCATTGATTGAAAAAAACATTCACAGTAACCTGATGCGAGACTTTATTTGTTCAGCTGCAAAATATATGGCTTAAATCTCCTCAGAGCTTGAAACATATTATATTACCCATGCCAATCAAATGTGCAAGCTTGCAATAACAGAGCGAGAAATTTCTATTTTCTTCCCCTTAATCAAATAAAGTATTGATTATAAGCATGAAACCTTGCCAATCTCACAACGGAAGAAATAACAAAACACCTTTTTTCAATTCTTGCTTTTACAACAGAGGGAAAGGAGAATGTTTTTTTTTCCGAGTCTAAGCTAAATTACCTTAGAGTAAAAAATAGCACATACAGTATTGGGGTTTTTTCTACCTAGATTTTACAACAGCTTGACTTTAAATGAATTGGGAAAATATTACAATATTTTTATTGAAATTAGTAAGATATTCATCATTTTTTTCTTCATCTTAGGAAAATAAAGCACTTTTTTGCAAGTGGAAGGAGCTTGTATTCGGCTATAAAATTAAGCAAAAACAAAATCCCAAACACATTGTGTATGTGGGATTTAAATTTCTTCAAAGACTACATTTATTAGGATTTTCATCATCTCCTGAATCAAAGGTGTATAAATTTGCTTTTGATTTCATCATTTTTTTGGATTTTGTGTTCCATCTTTTTTTCTACAAAACACCACTTACTAATGCCCTCCCAAAATAGATCTGGTAGTAAACATTAGAGTACAGTGTACTTAACCCACTCGCCCCTAAAGTAACATTTTAACCTTACCAAATCAAAGACTGAACAAGTCCAATTTAAAAATGTAGGAGTAAATGAGTTAATTTGATCAACTCTATCAATACTACAATACAAACTTTACAGTTTTATAGGAAGTATCAAAGCTCAGAGAAAAGAATTTGTGAAGATTTTGAAATTTTACATTATTTTCAGATTACCTTTATTTGGTTTCTAAGGCCTTTCATTATACCATTTGAACAAATCTGAATTCAATTATCCTAATCAAAATGTGTGCACGGCCACTATAAAAGAAAGAAAAAAACACTGATAATCAGTGGCACTGTGCCATGTCATAAGCTTACTGGGTTTTTATGGGAGGGTAAAATAAACAATTCTAAGCATATAGAGACTTACCCATCTGGTTCCCTCCCAATCCCACCCTAGCTTTATCAACAGAAAAATCTACCAGAAACAATGGGTGATCAATCATACAGGATGAGCCATTGTTAGAGCTGTTGATAATTGATTCCGAGCATCCGACTGGTTTCCTGTGCTCTTACCTGAAGTGACAGGGTCCCTCTTACACATATCACAACCTTCTTATGCCTGTGGTCCAGAGCCACATAGAAAGGCGTCTCCCCAATCTGAAAGTAAACAGACGAGTCTGAGCTGATTACAAGCAATCGTGACTGCTGGCTGGTATAGATGCGGCGGAATGCAAGATGGCATACCATCCTTTACCTAAACACTAAAGATGAGGGCGACTGTTGGGAATCGATCCAATTAAGGGTGTTAATTAAGTTTAATAAAGTTACCATAACATGTAACGGAGTCCAACTAGTGATGCAGTAATATATCACACTGTTTAATACAATAACTGAAAACTAATGAACAAACTAAAAACAAAACAAAATTAAAAAGGAGGGGGATTGAGGGGGGCATCAATGGGTGAAGAATTACATGTCACATCTAAAAACATTAGTGTATTTCACCGAGCATGCAGAGATCAGATACTCAGAAAGTCACTTTACTGGCTGACATTGCATCACAAATCAGGGCTCAAGTTACAATGTACTCTATGCCTTGTTAAATAAATTTGGAATTAATTGAATTATTACACCAAGATATTGAAAAATGCGAAGGTGTTACAACCTATATCATTTTTGTATGAGATGCGTAACACTGAACTATTATTCCCAGGAGAAGGGTGCACTCAGTAAGGAAGCGACTTCATTATGTACACAAGCCAGCAGGGGCTATTATAAAAGGAAAGGTTTGGTGTTTTAAGAGACATATACCGACAAGAGCTTAATTGCTGTGGCTGGCATAGTGTTACAGGCTGTAATTAAACATGCTATTGCAGTATAATTAAACCAGGCAATGTCATATTACTACCACAACCAATTACTGGGAACGCTTCCTGCTATGACGTTGAGAGAATATTTTATGATCATCAATAAACCAATACTTTTACGGCTCACAGTACTTGAGACAAAGAATATTCTATGATCATTAACAAGTAAACACTTTGATAGAGGAGCTAGTCGATCAGAAAAGGGTTAAGGTCAAGAGACCAAGACAGTTATTGTAATAAAGTCTGACACTCGCACCACATACACACACAGCTTTCAAAATCAATACAACGGTTTCGGGGACATGTCCTCGGCTATCAATCTGATCTAGGAGATGAAGACATCACCACATAGATCCACAGGGTAGGTGTAGTATACAGCTTCCTCATGGGACAGTGCAGACTTAAAACCTGATTAACTCACCACAATTCACCATTTCAAAATTAATATCTTTTACATTACACCAGCAAGTTTGCAATGTATGGAAGCTTTTTCCCTTTATTTTTAACTCTGAAACTGATTACATTTCTAAAATAAAAACCAAATTCAAACACATGAAAATAGAGCTGGAGAAAAATGCTTTTAGACTAATCAAGCTGTGGACAAATAGGTTCTGGATGGGGACTGGCAACAAATATGCCGCAACACTATAGATACTGCAGTATACAACATGTACAGCTGCATAAAAGCAGACCAATGCTCTAAACCTCTCGACTATAATGCTCATGTGAAAGAAATCACTGATGTTTCTTACAATGATACAGCAATCCTCTTCCCCGAAACACTTTTACCTTTGAAAATGTCTGCTCTTTCCCTTTAAATGACAACTGATTTTGGAAATGTCTGCTCTTTCCCTATAAATGACAACTGATTTTAGAAATGTCCGCTCTTTCCCTATAAATGACAACTGATTTTGGAAATGTCTGCTCTTTCCCCATAAATGACAACTGATTTTGGAAATGTCTGCTCTTTCCGTACAAATGACAACTGATTTTGAAATGTCTGCTCTTCAGCATTGGACAACTTTTCTTTTTCAGAAAAACTACAATCATAAGTAGCAACAGTTTGTTTTTATGTCACAGCATACAGACTTTGAGCCGAACCCATATTTGGAGAAAGTAATTCTCATGCTTAAAGATAAGTGATAAATTGGAATTTAAAAACAGGACAGTAGAACTGAGTGACTTTCAATAAAGATCAAGTATCACAAATTATTTTTTCTGCAATAATTAGTAAAAGATGACCTGACAACAATTGTGAAAATATAGGCCAAAGGTTAAGACAAGTCACAATTTTTATGTGCCCATATTTCTATGAACATTTAATACACTAAATATACTTTTGCATTGTAGACAACTTCTCAAATCATTCAGTCAGTTTAGCTTCAGCAGGACAATAAAGAACGGTGGCAATATTAACAGACTCAATATCTTCATTGAAGGAAACACAGACACATCAGTTTAAGAAATTGGTAACACTGACCTCTGACCTCTGGAATTACAGAAATGGTGTCTACCACCTTTAGCCCGATTGGATAAATTAGTGATTGCCACAATATTACAGCAGATGCAATTTGACAATCACCTCCAACATTTACTCTCAGAATGGTACATAACGGAGACATTGTCCATCTTCTCTTGGCTGTTCAGTGGATTAATGTAAAGCCACAACATTATAGTGGTAATATTGACCATCACACACACAAAAATAATGTTCTCTTTGAAAGGTGGATAACAGAGGCAATGTAAACCTTATTTAGCTGTCTAGTCAGTTAATTAAAAAACATACCATTACAGGGATAAGAATTGGACTGTTTCACAATATATTACCTCATGAGCGTAACTAACAGAAACATTTTTTCCCCTTTCCTTGACTCATCCGTGATGTAAGTACATGATATTGCAATGATGACAATTTAACTATTATATCACAATGTTAACTTATTCACCCCTGAAGACACATTTGAACTCTTCCAATTCAAAGGTTGGAATAGTTCATTATGAAATTTCAGAGGTGAATTAGTTAAGCTTTGAATACAGAGGCAAGGCTTTTCCTGAGCGTTCAGCAAAGTAAACCAAGACAGTAGCTTGACAATCGCAAAGTTTGTTCAGCTCTGAATGTTACATTACAGGGGTCAGCTTTGATATTTCTGGGGGTTATGCTCAGTTTCACTATCTGCACCCCTGGAATATGTAATAGCAAAATTGAAGACACATGGTTAGCTTTTTGATTCGTCTTTGGTAAAAGAAACCTGACCAAGTGCTAGGCTGATACCTGTCCTTTAAAGACTACAGGAGAGACACTTGGCTTCAAAGTCAGTAAATTACAGTGATGCGACCACAAGATTCTGTTGATGTACATCAAAGCATCAAACTAGACTTCTTGTCTCATCCACAAGGTGGTGCACACTGAGCCTTCGATTTTGCTAGGACACATTCAAGGGGTGCAGAGAGCAAAAGTGAGCATAACCCCTGGTGTATTGAGGATGAACAGGGGTGATCTCTACCTACTATTAGCTGGTCATTAATGAAAGTCCTAAACACACAATGACAGCAATTTCACAATCTGTACAATGCCTTTACCTTTACATGTTTGGAACATTGTAAATGTTTCATACATGCAAAAAACTTTGAATGGCAGTCAATTTTTAGTCCAGGTTTGTATGTAATACACTTGTAACAGGTGCTGTAACCAGCTTATTATTCAAAATACCTACTAGTATTACTACTGAAAGTGGTATACATGGAAGTACAATTTGCACCCTTTTCTTAGCTTGAGTGAAATAAAATCAGATTTTTCCATATGACACACCTACATTCTCAGTTTCAATGAGGGCAGACACACATGACTTGACCTTAGCTTCAATGAGAGCAGGCAAACAAATAATTTGAAAACAGTTTCAAAAGATTCAATGAGGTCAGTCGAGCAATTTTATTACCAGTCACAAGACAATTTACCTCTACGTGGTACGTGACATAAGCAATGTCCGCCTCCTTAAGACCGCTCAGCTTCAGCAGTGCCACAAAGTTACAGTGGCAACAGTTGTCGTCAATCAGTTCAGCATCCTTAGCAAACGATGAACCACAGGCATGGCAGCAACAGCACCTGGGGAACACAACACACACTTATCATAGGAAGGGTTTATGCTTTATCGCTTATTGTGATAAGCAAATTACTTCAAGTAACATGCAAAAGTTGATAGTGCTCTACTGGAACATTACGTTTATAATCTTCATATTGGCAATTACAAATATAGTTTGAAGTATCAAAAAAGTACAAACATTTGGAAAAATTTGGAAAGCTATAAGAAAGCCTGATTTTGTGATACTGCAACACTAAACAGAATTTACCGAAGACTTGGAAGCATTTTACAGAGGCCTGTCCCTGTGTTCATCATCATGAAGGCTGGCCATCCATAAGCAGCTAGTGCAAAACGCATGTAATGTACAACAAGCTTGTATTCTTCCATAACCTCTGGCTGGCCCAGCTGTAGGAACTCTGTCTGGGGGGTGATTGCCCGACCTGATAGGTACTGATACACATCATTACTGCCCTGAAACATAAAACATATAAATCAAACAACCATAACGGACCACTTTTTGTTCCAAATATGCAGGTTTTTGGTTCAATGTCACATTAAGCCTAGAAATTCATACAGTGGGACATGGCCTATATAGTTTTTTTAAAGGTCTAAAACATTTCATATTTGGTCAGAACAAATTAAATTGCATTGTCATGACATTGCCAACATTTCTGGAATTGTATAAGGGGGAGAAATAGCAACAGTCTCATAGTTCAAATTTGAGTCCTTTCAGCCTAGTGATGCTTCTAATAAAGTTTGGTTGGAATCTGATCAGCTGTTCAAGAGGAGTAAGCTTCTAAAGGAAAAATTTGGTGAATGAATGACAGAAACACCCACTTCAGCATAAGTTCCCATGGCAGTGATTTTTGTATTATATAGTGTATTTTCAAAATGTGGACTGAAGTCCCACAGGAACAGCACAAGTCCAAGGATGTCCCAAAATTCACTAACATGACCATTTGGACTAGGAGAGATGAAAATGAAGCAATATGCTAGCCAATAGCTTCACTGGCCATTTAATCCTCATACAGGGCAAGGTCATCCCCTTTCAGAGGGCCAATAGAGTGGTCCTGATGAGTCAGCTCTAAATATATACAGAATTACAGTTACAAATCCAAGTGATTTCACATCTTCCTGCCCTAAACCTTAATTCTGCCTACACAATTCCTCACTTACTGTAACTTTGTTAACAATTACCGTACTGTAAGTATTACAAAATCAATCCATCACCGATGTGTCCATCGGCGAGTCCAGCTTAACAGTTTTGTACTGTATTGACATATCCTTACAACTTCCATATGTTCGCAGCAATCAAAACAAACATCACTTTAAGTAACTAATATTGATTTCATTTTCCCCAATTCCTTCGCCAGGCCATATCAATTTGATTTGGTTGTAACAATAACATACAACAGCTATTGGAACTGGGAGAGGAATCGACTGCTATTATTTTAGATGGATTGTTTGCTACAAATTAATTAATTCCAATCATTGTGACCCAAGTTCCTAGCTATAAAAGCACATTCAGGAGGGACTCCAGTAGTCATTTACCAAGACAAGACTGGATCATACTCCCACCTACACAGGCCAAATGGTCTCAGATTCCAGCAAAACAGTGGGCTTGAGAATACAAGTCTGCATGAGAACAAGCATTATTGTTGAACAGTCAATGGAGCCAATAACACAGTATGCAGTAGGCCAAGTATTGTATATAGAGTGAAGTATCCTAAGTGACAGGCTCCAGAATACATTGTAAACACTGAGAAAAAATGAGTCCTAAATGGATTAGATGACCATATGGTGCGGTAAATAATTTGGTTGTTTGGCTTTCTTCATCAAATTGGTCAATTTTCAAATATAAGGTGTTTCCTTACTATTATTTCTAGAGAGTGATTTTGTAGTCACAATGTGGCGGACTCTGTAAGTGGACTATCCGTACCTAGAGTTGACAATCCGATAGCTGGATTACATACTGGCACAGTTTACAGACTCTACTTTAAAAAGAAAATTATCTGCTGCAGCAAAAATTTAGTTACTAACAATAAACAAATAAATCAAAAACAAGTTTGTGTTTCTTTATCGTTAGTCTCGATCAGACACAACGGAATCATAAATGTCAACGTTTCACACACCAGAATTCAAGCATCCAATTTTGGCAAAAAAGCACTAATACACATGATGCCAAAATCTGATTAAATCAGTTGTCCACATCAACTTTTTTTTCAAATAGAGACTTTTAGGTAAGTAAATTTAAAACAGGGTAACAGAATGTTCATTTAATTCTGGGGTTTCCTTTTATTTTAAAACCAGATATTTTATCTATAAACTACTCCCTTTCATTACATTCATAAGGAATTTAAGACCATTAAAATCTCAAAATTATCCCAAAACCACAGCTTTCATGTTGGTTTCTGACCAGCTAATCTAATGCGTTATGCAAATATTGAGTGGGCCCCTGATGCCAACAATTACGGACAATGATGGAAATATAATGTAAAGGATACTTAACCACTATAGAGCTAATATGACATTCAGTGTAATTACTGAGCATACAGATATCATAAGGAAACTACACTGAACAATGAAGCCTTAATTAAACGAGCCGCTATTTCCACTTTACTGATATTCTATATACAATGTACAGTAATGCAATAAAATCAGAATTCAAGTCAGAAATGTGTGCTGTGTGAACGGTTGCAAGACTTCACCAATACTTTTGTAATTTTATTATATCTTCTCTGTAACAGAATTCTGCTGGTAGAAACAGGAGCTGAAGGAACAAATCCAGACACTGATGTCACCCAGCGGACGTCATTAAAAGGTCAATATTTAAACATGGCACTCTGAAATTCTTGTTTCATATAAAATCAACAAGAAGAAAGCTGTATTTTGTATTTTGTTTCAGTCTCCTACATACAAAATTATAGACAACTGAATCTCAACACACTATAGAAACGTCCCCAGACAGATGACGTACAGTTTCCTGGTAGGAGACCAAGCTTGCCATATAGATAATTGATGAGGCTTTGTCAGTCAGCAAGACTATCAAGGTATTCATCTTCATTCTAAAAGCTTATTGGGGTTTCATGATCGTAGCAGACCTTGCAATTTTCAGAAGCTGTTTTAAATGAAATGTTGACCGACAGACCATAAAATGTTAATGACTGGCTGGCATGCAACATGATAATGCCATCCTAACTCTGATCAAAGTGGTTTAAAATTGAGTACTCACCTCTGTGACTACGTGGTGCATCTGAAGCTTTTGATGGCGACGAAGCAAGACAAATCCTGCGATGACATCTGAAGGTACCACATCTAGATCGCGGAAAAATTCCGTGAACAGTTTAGCTACCTCTGCTATTGAATTCTGGAATCAAATTTATACAGATTTTCTCTATGTGCAATAAAAGAGTCACGAGGAAATGATGCTGACACCTGTGAGCTAGATAGGGAAAGTTACAGCTTAAACACTTTAATTCATTCACCCCTACTTATCTAAACTTGACTTGTCCAGTCATTGATTTGGTAAGATTCAAATGTGACTTTAGGGGTGAATGTTAAACATTTGTACTTAAAAACAGTATCACTATTATAGCAGCAGTTAATTATGAATTACTCTCATTAAATAAGGTTAAGGACCCTGGTATATAAAGTAATTTTGTACCAGTACATATTACAATGTCAAACAAAAAAGAAGAAAAAAAACGATGTAGTATCGAGTATGAAATATTAATCTCCGGTCTACCGATTACTTAGAATTAAACTCATTTTTCCCTGTAATATCTTAATGAACTATTCCAACCTTTGAATTGGAAGAGTTCAAATGTGTCTTCAGGGGTGAACGAGTTAATATCAGATAATGTCTGTCAATATATCCAGGACAATTACCCTGTTTGTTGCATCTCTCTCCACACAACAGCAGAGAAACTTGAATCTCCGATCCCAACTCTCCTCATAGGCCCGGATAGCTTTCCTTCAAATCATAGAAGAAATCACATAATGATACCAATCATTTGGAACTGTTCTCGGAAATGTCCTGTTTTTTTTGTTGTTACAGCCCTATGTCAGCATAATGAGAGTTCAGGCCCCAGTATCATGAAATAATCTTAGATTTAAGTTTTTGCTTAGCTGTCACTTTTCAAGAAGTTATTTGTGATAGGTAAAGTCAGAACTTAAATCCTAGACTTAAGACTGTTTCATGACTCAGGGTCCAGTTTCCCTCTTACTAAAAGTATAAAAGAAATCATACAAAATATCTATTTACTAGCAGTCTAATGATAACAAGTTTTATTAACTGAAAATTCTCATTGATATTAATTATTGTTTTTGATTTACTGATCAAATCACATATGCACATGATCCTTTCTACCAGTTATTCATTTACACAATTTTGTAGAAAAAACAAGAGGCCCAGAGGGCCTGTATCGCTCACCTAGATAATAAAGCAACCATGAAAAATGATTCTTATTACATAAACTCCCTCCAATGGTACAGAAGAAGAAAGATTTTAAAGATTTATCTCTCTAATTTCCCTATTGGGCCCAGCAACTCTCAGCCCCCAGGGGGTCCAAACCCACTGTTTATACAAAATGTATTCCCTTTGCCCAAGGATGCTCCAGGTTAAATTGGGATAAAATCCCTTTATTCCTATGTTAGAAGAAGGATTTCAAAGGTTTTTACATGCTCCAGACCAAACAGGACAAAATCTTTTTATCCCGATACAGTAGAAGAAGGATTTTAAAGGTTTTACCTCTAATTCCCCTATTCGGCCACACCCCTCTGCCCCCAGGGGGGCCACACACACCGTTTACACAAAATCAAGTCCCCTTGGCCCAAGGATGCTCCATTTGGCAGGGCATCCAGGATGCTCCAGACTAAATAAGCATAAAATCCCTTAATCCCTACGGTAGAAGAAGGAATTTAAAGGTTTTACCTCTATACCTAAGGATATGCTCCAGACCAAATTCAGTCAAAATCTAATTGGTCATTCAGGACTAGTATCGTTTTTAAAAAAATGTTGACAGACGGACGATGGACGCTGCGGTATGGCATAAGCTCACCATGGTCCTTTGGACCAAATAAGGACCATGTGAGCTAACAAGAGGCCCAGAGGGCCTGTATCGCTCACCTGAATATATTTTAAGTAATTGGTATGAAGTAAAGATATAGCACTACATGGTAGGTGATGTAAGTACATATGAAATTTCAGAAAGATCCATCCAGTACTTGAGATATAACAAATTCCAAACCGAGCCCCACCCCTATGCCCCTAGGGGGGGTCATACCCACCGTTTATACAAAATTGAGTCCCCTTGGCCAAAGAATGCTCCAGACTAAATAAGGATAAAATCCCTTAATCATGATGGTCGAAGAAGGATTTTCAAGGTTTTACCTCTATTTCTCCTATTGGACCCTGCCTTTCTGCCCCCTGGGAGACCACACCCACTGCTTATACAAAATTGAGTCCCCTTGGCCCAAGGATGTTCCAGACTAAATTAGGATAAAATCCCTTAATCCCTATGGTAGAAGAAGGATTTTAAAGGTTTTACCTCTATTTCTCCTATAGGGCCCAGCCCCTCAGGTTCCAGGGGGGGGCCACACCTATTGTTTATTCAAAATTGATTCCCCTTTACCCAAGATGCTTCACACCAAATATGGACCAAATCTTTTTATTCCTACAGAAGAAGAAGGATTTTAAAGAATAATTTGCTATGTTTCCCCTATTGGGCCCCGTCCCTCAGGTCTCTGGGGGGTCAGACCCATGGTTTATACAAAATTGGTATACCCCTTCACCTAAGGATGCTTCAGACTAAATATGGAACAAATCCTGTCATTCCTACAGAAGAAGGAGGATGTTTAAGAATTTGCTATATTTCCCATACTGGGCCCCGCCCGTCTGCCCCCAGGGGGGCCACTCCCACCATTTATACAAAATTGAGTCCCCTTGGCCTAAGGATGCTCCAGACCAAATTTAGTCAAAATCTACTTGGCCGTTCAGGACTAGTAGCGTTTTAAAGGAAAAGATGACAGACGGACGGACAACGGATAACGGACGCTGCGGTATGGCATTAGCTCACCATGGTCCTTCGGACCAGGTGAACTAAAAATGATCCTTATTGAATAAATACAGCTGTTTCGTTCTTCTACAGCTGATCGGTGATGCTAGGGGCCCAAAAAGTTAGAAATCCAAATCGGTCTAAACTACTGTTGAAACAGAAGGGAGTTGCAAAACCCCTTAATTATATGAATTTGAAATTTAAAGAAGTACTGGCTGATTTCAAATTGATCATGAGGAAAGTCATATGTAGGATATTCATGAAAATTACACAGTTAACTTTTTTACGTGCAGAGATCTAAGATGTCCACTGGTTCGTATCCTCCTCAAAATAAACCTTGAGTATGAAATCAATATTTGATTATTTGCAGGAAATTTCATCAAGATCAAAGCAATGACGCCGACGGATGATATCCCTTAGGTCGACTTCAGTTTATAGACGACAGTCGCGCATAAACAAATCTTTCTTATAACACTTGAAGCTTCATGGTTTCATGAATTGACTTAAGAATTATGAATTAGGAGATTTACAAATATTTAATATTATGAAGGAAACATTAGGACACAACGACTGGCTGAAGTAATAGTTTATATAGTTCGTGCATTGAAGTTGATGTTTATATAGAAGTTCAGAGTATTCCTGCGCATATCTGTCAGGTGAACAATTTTGTCGCCTGTTACCGGATATCAGATTAATGACAGGACGAAAATGATTACAATAATTAAACTGTGAGCGGGATAATTACAAATATTTCCTTGTTTTGGATATTCTAGTGAGTCGAGTTTAGTAGGTTTGAATCAAACGAGAAGAGCTTACTTCCATCACAAATAATTTGTGTTTATCATACAAGGAAACAGATCTACGGATTTGATAAAAATAAAGTTTATCAATTGATTTTATACATGTTAAATCATCATTTTTATCCTTCGTATTGTTATAATATGATTTGTATGAATGGGAGTGTTCTTATTGTTGAAATGTTTAAGCTGAACAATTTATTTTAAACACAAGAGGCCCAGAGGGCCTGTATCGCTCACCTGGTGGATATCTAAGCAACCACGGCAAAATATTCTCCAAATGAGATCCAAGGGAATATGCCACACCCCAATGCCAATTCTTGTAGTATGTCTGTATTAGATTTTTCATGCCCAGCAATTGTATTTATGGTTATAGTGGTCACAACTGTTTTCAAGCTGTGACTCAGAAACTGGCCAGGCCCCAGGATCAATTATAATATCATGACTGCATTCGTCGCTTTTTGTCCAGCATTTGTATTTATAGTCTTGGGGTGGGGATCTTAACCATTTCGAAGTTATGACCCAGTGGTTAAGTCTCCAAGGGTGGGGCAGACCCCAAGGCCATCCTGGAAGCATATGTGCATTAATCTCTTTATACTCAGCAATTGTATATATGGTTATAGGATGGGGATCTCAACTGTTTCCAAGCTGTGACTCAGAAACTAGGTCCCTAGGGGTTCGGTCAGACACCACTCATGGGTCTATTCTAATACCATGACTACTTTTGTCCCTTTATGCCAAGCATTTGTATATAGAGATCTAGGTAGGGAATCTCAACCGTTTCAAAGTTATGACCCAGGGACTATGTCTCAAAGGGTGGGGCCTGCCAGATCCTAGGCCATCCTGGAAGCAAATGTGCATTCTTCTCTTTATAATACACAATTGTATATATGGTTATAACCGTGGGGATCTCAACCATTTCCAAGTACTAAACTTTTTTTGGCCCCATCCCTCAGCACGGGGGGTCAGCCCAACCTATTGGACAATTTTGAATCCCCACCACCTAGGGATGCTTCCAGTCAAATATGGTTGATATCCATATCATTTTTCTACAGAAGAAGTCGTTTGTAGCAATATAGCCATTTTGACCCCTTTTGGCCCTGCCCCTCAGCCCCCTGGAGGGGGATCAGCCCAACCATTTGTACAATTTTGAATCTCCACTACCGAGGGATGCTTCCAGTCAAATATGGTTGATATCCATATCTTAGTTCCAGAGAAAAAGGCGTTTAAATCAATATAGCCCAATTGCCCCCTTTTGGCCCCACCCCTCAGGCCCCTAGCGGGCCAGACCCACGGTTTATACAAAATTGGTTCCCCTTCACCAAAGGATGCTTCAGACTAAAATGGAACAAATCCTTTCATTCCTACAGAAGTAGAAGGATTTTAAAGAATTTACAATGTGCTCCCTATTGGCCCCTGCCCCTCAGGCCCCTCAGGGGCCAGACCCACTGTTTATACAGAATTGGTTCCCCTTCACCCAAGGATGCTTCAGACCAAATATGGAACAAATCCTTTCATTCCTACAGAAGAAGAAGGATTTTAAGGAATTTGCTATATTTCCCCTATTGGGCCCCGCCCCTCAGCCCCCAGGGGGGCCAGACCCACCATTTATACAAATTTGTTTCCCTTACCCTAAGGATGCTTCTGAAAATTTGGTCAAAATCTGCTCAGTCGACTAGTAGCGATTTTTAGGAAAAGTTGACAGATGACGGTCGCCGGACACCGCACCATAGCATAAGCTCACTTGCCCTTCGGTTTTTACAATTTTGATTACAAATATTTGAAGTTTCTAATCACAGTCAAATTTTAGTCCAATTCAGTTTTGGATATCAGGTTAATACAGTTTGAATCATTAAAACTCCTAAAAGGCAGAAATGTATTGATATTAAACCTTCATCTTTCTATGGCTTAAGGTTTTCAAATTGCATTTACTTGATATACAGATATCATTGCAGATTAATAGCATTCTAGATGCTAGCTATAGATGAAGCATAAGATAAAAAAGAAAAGATATGTGATGTGAACAGATTATGTTGTGCTCTTACTATATATATATATGGTAGGCATGTCATTAGATTTAGTAATTGTCTGATTATATATAGAGAAAGCAGAAAAATAGA